ATTTCTTTCTATAAACATGCCTACACTGGTACAGCAAGAAATTCAGACAGCCAATAATTTACTATGTTTTTACAGCTTAGCCTTCTTGTGAACAAATATTTTTCCCTCTCCTGCTTTAGTTATGTAATAGCAATATTGGAAAACAGGGTGTGTCATCAGTGAAATATGTCAAAAGAAACAAAACTGAACACCACGTTGTTTACTAAAGTTGGGTGGATGTCAGGTACATGAGAGTATAATAAAGCTTTCTGAAGGAGAAAAGGGTCTCAGAGGTAATTTCACATTATAATTCAGAAAGGTAAAACAATTTTAACTGCATAGGAGAAGGATAAAAACAGAGGCATAGGTTTGAAAGCATCTATACCTTCCTGTTGGTACCTGTGATAATGCACTAGAAACCATGCTCGGCACCCATGTATGGGGACTGGTAGAACTAGCAGTTACACAATTATCCCAAAATAGGAAAAATTAGGTAAGTGATAAAGAAAACCTAGCAGAACATCCATGCATATGTAATTCTGATGGATGTCAACTTATCCAACCATAACATTAATTTTGAAGGTGGTGTTTAACTTTTACAAGTTTTAAAAACTTCTTGCTCCTTACTTTTTATTTAAACATTTTTCTGTTCCATCTTCCAGAGTGCTTGGGAGGGAATGAAAATTATTTACAAGATTCACTGCAGCACTGCAATTTTTAATTAACCCACAAAAGTCTACTTTTATTCCAGCATACCTCAAGTGTAAAAAAAGTATATATTTCACATATACTTTTGAAAAAAATTATGTCACTTTACTCCCAATTACAGATTTCTCTTTAACAGTTGCTATAAGTAGAAAAATAAATGTTTGCCTATACAGACTCCCATAGCATACTGAATGGTGCAATCGAAGTACAAATAGTCCTATTTTGGAGCATGGGCAAAAACAGGTCTGAGCCATTTATTAATCTTGATAGAGGTAGGGATGTTATACAGGTTGACAGCAATTAATAGGTCTATGACTTCATGAATTTCCTGTGTAAATTCCTCTCATTCTTCTCAAGCGCTTTTGTACAGTGATACTCAAAACAGTAAATCAAGACAGATCTCTGAGTTATTTAAAATATAAACTAAAAAAAACCATCAACAACCTGTACCTAAGACTGCTAGTTGAAATCATGCCACACATGCACCATCACCCTTACCTCAAAGCATTTTTTCTCTTGTTTCTTCCCCCACAGGGGTTTCTTCCCCCACTCTTCAATGAAAACCATTAATTTTGCAACAAAAAGGGAATATTGTAGCCATTATGTAAGTTGTTACTAATAAATAATAGAAATGTTCCTATAGAAAAGAGTAAACAAAGTTACATGCAGTGTATACTACTAGAAAGTAACCATTTGCTAAAAGCGTTTACGGAAATAACTTTGTCCCCTCACTTGTACATTGAGAATTCTCTCCTTCAAGCTACCATATGAGGAAACCTTTAATAGTTCTATACAAACCTTGACATTTTTAACAATAACTTCTCACACGTGACCTTCTTTTTATGTTACCATAAGACTCATGAGAGATGAGCTGACTCATTTGTAATAGATTTTTTAAAATACAATGAAAAAGCTTGTTTACAGCATCAAAAACATAACACACTAGGTCCTTATATCCCAAAGAAATGAAACTAATTTTAAGGCAGCAATAAGTGAAGCAATAGAACAGCTATACAGCTATTGTTAAGCAGGTTTTAAATACAGCTAATGACTTGCCCTTTACAATTGTGCTTTTTAAAAAGTATTTTTACTATAGAAACCTTCTTACAGTATAATTGTCTCAACTTTTCAAGTAATTATTCTGTCTTGTACTACTGTCTACCATCAGTAATCTCTTCTCCAAAGAGCAATGTTAGTCTAGAAAAATATCTACTTTACCTGTCCACGGATTACCCTGTTAAATTTTTTTTTAGATGCATCATTTCAAAATAAAGCATGTTAACAAGACAGAAATACTCACATAGCTCATTTCTGGTCATGATTTTATCACTATTTTCATTTTTGAACATATTTCTGATGTTTTGGCATTAAAAATATTATGTATTCTTGTAATAATACTCTGCACATCCATTTCCGTGGGCAACTGCACTGTCACGATGACTATTACTGGATATTCTTCTCTATTTCTTATTCCTGCCATGTTTAGCACCACAGTATTGTTATATTTCTTATAAACTTGGACAATAAGCTTGGCCCTTAGATTATTATTCTGCAATTGGTTCTACTGGAGTGAGCATTGCTCAAATTGAACAGCGGGAATCTAGAAATTATGTACAATTTGTGTCTTAAGACACAAAGGTGTACAGTGAGACTATAATTTGCATCAGGCACCTTCTCCTTCACAAAGGGTGAAAATTTTAGTTCTAATTCTACTAGTTCTACTAATCTCTCATGCATAGCACATTAGGAAACAAATATATGCTACATATATCTGCATCTTGAAAGGAAAGAATCTTAAATTCTTTACCTAATACATATAAAAAACACTTAATAGATGCAAGAATGCATGGACTAACGGTAAATAGAAGTTTTTTGCGGAAAAAGAGAATATTCCACTTTGAAACTAGTAGAAATTAAAACCCATGCACGCTCTCTGTATCAGCAGCTCAAAGCACCAGTTCAGGAGCTCGATGACCGATGTCCTACCATGGCTTGGGAACTCAAAGAGAATGTCAAGGAAGGAAGGGACACAAAGATGATTAAGGGACTGGAGCATCTATTGTATGAGGAAAGACTAATCGAGTTGGACCTGTTTAACTTGGGGAAGAGAAGATTGAGAGGAAGATTGAGATCAATATATAAAAATATCTGAGGGGAAAATTTAAATAAGATGGGGCCAAACTCGTTTTGGTGGTGGCCAGTAGCAGAACAAGGGGTCATGAGCACAAATTAAAACACAGGAAATTCCATCTCCATATGAGAAGGAACTTGTTCACTGTGAGGGTGACAGAGCCCTGGAACAGGCTGCCCAGGGAGGTTGTGGAGTCTCCTTCTCTGGAGATCTTCAAAACTCGCCTGGATGTGACCAGGTGCCACGTGCTCTGCTGGAGCAGGGGGTTGGACTAGATCTCTGGGGGTCCCTTCCAATCTCAATCATTCTGGAATTCTGTGTGACAAGAGAAATACAGTATCAAAGAAACCATGCCTTTGAAATTAGATGGGAGGAGTGTGGGTTTTAAACATGATTATAGACATAAGCTATTTGAAATAATGAGTACTTGAATATCATCTCTGAAATACACTTACCTCTTCCTGATGCTTCTACACGCTTTCCTGATATGCATCCCTGAAAAACTCATACCACTACATAACAACTCTAAGCCTATTCAAGAAGCATAATTTTTTCAACTTAAAATTGCAGAATGTTTCAATATATTTTAACCAAAAATAACTTAAGCTATTTATATTTAATGTTTGGATGAGAAAAATGTCTATTCAAGGTACAATTTGTTGCCTTTGTGATGTCAACAGTAAATAATATTATTTGAAGTGGAATGTTGTATTTAATATTTAATAGCACACATAATGAAAGCAGTAAAAATATTGAAATTTCAGGAAAATATGAAGTAGTCATCATCATTCAGGTGTTATTTCACACTAGTGATAGATGTCATGATGTATACACACCTAAAAATACCACTGGCATTAGATGACTTCATTTTATCAAGGAATTAAACAATATATATTTCAGCATAGCATATATTATAGATGAAAAAACAAAATTTCAACTTGTTGATATCTGACAATTCAGATAATTCCAGTGAAATAGTATTTACAACAACACAAGGAGGACGTTTCATGAAAATTGAGTTTAACATTACCCAGATTCCTTTCAAAAGCAACTTAACCATTTAACAGGAGTCAGAAATTGCACTTACTCTGCCATGCTCCATGTTTATACAAAATGAAATCCTGCTACAGATGAATTAACCAAATAAGATTTTTCCCCCTTCTGAGGAGATGAGTCAGAGCTCAAGAAAGTTGAAATTAGCACTATTTTCTGGTCAGCATTACGATGATAACAAAGCAATGGTCTTGTAAGGTAATATACAAGCTTGGGAAAAAATTCATTTCATATTAATTAGCTTTATCAACAATATCTCTGTTGCCACTTAAACTAGTTAGCACAGCACCCAAATAGAAATGTGGTGTTACAATCAGCTGCTTAAAAATATTTTACTACTTACCTAAATGGCAACCTTTAATAAATCATCATCAGCAAAAAAGGAACACTGCATAAGGTCTACAAAACCCCTTTCTGATGGGTTAATTATAATTGAATCAACACACAAAATTTTACAGGTTGTGCTCACAGAAGTTAGGGACACAGGAAGATATCAAAATCACCTAGTACAAAACTTCTTCCAGTTATCACTGCTTTTCCTGTTTGCGGACAAGCAGTGAACTTGTAAGCACCTTTTTCCCCCATCCCAAAACACATTCATGATTTAGATGCCATAAACACTACATAACCAGTCGATCAATTCAGATAACCTAAGCATTTAATAAGTAGAAGAACTCATTTATAAATTATTGGATTAAAACACTAGATACTGTTATTAATTTATTTAGGGGCCATCCCCTGAAATAGTTCTACAGTCATTCAAGTAACAATAGGAGACAAAATTATATATGCTCTTAGGTTATTTTAAAACTTGCATCAGACTATATTATCTGAATTAGATGCCCTAAATCAAGCCCTGCAAAAATGTGTCCGTATCAACTGGCTACTTAGATTGTTAATGAGAAAATTCTTAATTAAGTCTAAAGAAAATAGTGTAAATACACCCAAAGTGTAATTTTTATGAACATTTATAAACATTATAAACATTTATAAATAAACAACTCGGCTACCCATATTTTACCTTTCAATGCCCCTGTAACAAAAACACAAAAACAAGAAAAAAAATTACAGAAAAGTTTTTTCCCCCATTTTATTTTTCCATTTGACCTGTTCAGTTCTTCTTCTGGAAAATGAAATTTTAGGAAGTCACACAATTTTATAATGATATAATTTCATTTTAGAGTTTAATAGCAGCTCTTAACTTGGCAGATCTCCCTCTTGGGTTTGCTTGAATATCCTTGGCCTGGGGTGTGAGAACTTTTTTCTGTATAAAACTCCACTTTGAGCTGGATTTTGCACTAGGAGATTCTTCTGTGTCTTCTTGGGAACTATTTTTCAGACCTCGCCTTATTTTCTGCCTTGAGCTTAGATTGTGCTTTTCTGTCATGTCTATCCCATAAAGAAAGCGTTTGATGATACGATCTTCCAGAGAATGGAAAGAAAGGGCTACGAGGCGACCTCCGGGTTTCAGAAACTTCTCGGCAGTCCTGAGGCCCATAAGGAGTTCGTGGAGCTCATCGTTGACGAATATTCGCAGCCCTTGGAAAGTTTTGGTGGCAACATGGGTAGGTCTCTGGAGCAAGTCTTTTCGTGCAAACAGCGCTGATGGTGGAAAAGCACCTGCCAAATTTGAAGAGATATAATTTCATATTTTCTTATTTCGATGCTGACATTGATCCACTCAGGTATGCTGACTTTAAATGAAAGTATACTTACAACTGAACTCAGTGTAGCAGGCTTCCTTCTTTACAATATATCAAATTTGTTTGCTCTGATTGCTCCTTTCTGAAAGTAAGCCCTATTAAACTGAGCTGGAAACTAACCTGGGTGTTGTTTTTTTTTCCCCCCCTAGAACAATTCATAGAAATTCTTTCCTCAAACACTTCACAAAGCAAAAATGCAAAATAACACCTGAAACTGGAAAAAAAAAAGGAAGACAAGCTAGATGAAACCTACACCTTACAACTCAGTAGTCAAGGACAGTTCAGTATTTTTTTTTTTGCTGTGGTTTTTTGCTCTTAAGGCAAAAAGCTATATATATTTATATATGTATGTATACAATGAATGCTGGGAGACAAATTTTAAATATTATCCTTTAGATCATCATGCATTAATTCACAGACAGATAAGTGCATATCAGGTGGTAAACACCTTACCTAATTATTTAAAGCTTAAAAGAGGCAGCCTTGTGTGAGTATAAAAATTGTTTACCTGTGTCTTTATTTCTTCCTGTGTCTTTATATCTTTCTATATAAGCAGAGATATAAAAAGAGAGATTGAAATTTTGCCCGAGAGTGAAGAGGGCAGGTATGCCTGAGGGTGAAGAAGGACCCATAAATTTTAAGTATCATATATTAATGGTCTAAATACTATACAATTTTCTAAAAATACTGCTATTTTTCTTTCTGGGGACAATCCATTCCATTCTTGATATTCTTTAGAGTGTGAAAGGTTCCCCAAAGCATCAGAGACAGAAGGGAAATCAATGAACAAGGGGTCAGAGTGGAATCTGGGTACAAACCTCTGTATTTTTCGGGGATCAACCATAAAAACAGAAACTTAGAATGAAACCTATGAATTTAATCAGCTATGGGAAGCTTCTGCTATGCTATCCTATACCTTTTACCTATCAGAATTAAGAATAATTACATAAAGATATCCTCTATTTGAAAATTGCTTTTATAAAAATCTAGAGATGTGAAACAGTGAAATCTGATCAGGTTTTTCACAGTCTGACCACAAACACCACTCTGTGCTTTGGCAACTGCAACACTGCATGCACAAATAAAAGGATGAGGAACTCGGGCTACCAGGCTGACTAAAGCACTAAAATGTCTTGAGAAGGCTCTTCTAAGTGCATGGTCATGGCTGAGCGCAGGGTCTTCCTACAATATGAATTAACTGTGCCTTGAAAGGCACAGTTTACATCTGTAAAGTAAGTGACATTTGAAAACTGAATCCTCAGGATATAGATTGATGGCAGATATCGAAGATAAATTTATTCCATAAGTATAAATACATTCCATAGGTATAAAATGGTCTTGTATGCCTCAGATGAACATGCCCAAATACTAATGCAGGTCATACAGAACACTATATAACCCTAATATTCACAGTAGTAATTTGCAGCTTTATAATAAATATAACTTGACATTGTGATTTTTGTCATGCCACCACCCTTCCTTTTTAGTGTAGGCAGGAGATTTGATCTATTCTGGGCTGAAAAAATATTCCGTCTCACTGTTAATCCCTGTTTAATTAAACAATAATCTATTTGTGCTTTCTGCTAAGAGACAAGATCCCTCCAATTAGAACACTAAAAAAATCCCTTCCTGGTAATAGGGTGCACAACATACAATAATATGGAAAAAAGATACAGAGAGCTTGTAAAATGGATTTCATTCATAAAAATACCATGCTTCTGGCTAGATGACTGGTTTGAAATCCCAGTGAGAGAAATTATCATTTTAGTTTTGGGATGCTCTCATGCTACTTGCATTTCTAAAAATCTAATAAATTTACGTGTTCAAATGTATTGAAATTTTTAAGCTTGTGAATGAAACTAGCAACGTGCTGGGCCTGTCAATATGAACTATTAAAGTCCCTAGAGTGTAAGAGTGGGAGAGTTTAAAAATTAATTCAGATCCTGCACCTGTTTGCAGGAATCTGTCTGTTGAATTAGCATTGCATTTAATAAGTTTCTGTGACGCAGCTAATGTCCTTTTGTCTAGCCTCCCTTAGCATGGTGTTAATTCACACTCATCTGAAATTCAGGCAATATTACAAATTTCAAGCTGATAATTAAAGTCTATAAATGTGGACAGAGCTGGATGAGACCGGCTTTACCTACTAGTTCTTGCTCAAACTTCAGATTTAATAGCTCCTCATCAATTTCTGTCAGCTCTGAATGATTTCATTATCTCAAAATAACTTGCTAAGAAATTACCTAGCCATATTGCACTGAGAAAAATTAAGTTTTGAACACAAAGAGATAACAAGATATATTATCACGTGAAATCAAAGTAAATAGCCAAAGTCACAGAAAAGTATATTAAAATGACACTGAAAATATGAGGAATTCATTTTTAAACATTTTAAATAAACTGTTTTTATCATAACAACACTTACATAGTAAGTGTTAAGCCTAACATTTCCAAGTAGAACTCAACTAGCTACTCAGCTAACAAAAGTCACTGGAAGGGGCTTCTCAATCAACTCCCCACATCTGTTCCCAGATCTTCAGCTAAGACCCTAGTATCTTCAGAGCATTCTGGGTGAAACAAATACAGCCAGTGAGGGGCATCCAGAAAAATATCCCAAGCAAAACATTTCATTTTTTTGTAGGAATTCTTATTGGCACAACATATAGACAGATGATCCTTGGGCTCTACAGTAACTTGAACAAAGTATTTCCTTTAAATGGAACACAGGGCTGGATGAATCACTTGGACACTCAGATAGCATTGCCTATAACACCTTGGACCTAAAATATATAAATCTACTTATAAGTTTTTGCACTATTCCAAAATTATATCTCTTGCCATTAAAACTTGAACTTCAGATTTTCCCGTGAGCTTAAATACTTATATTTCCTGCACACTTACCTTCTTACCAGTTCAAAAAAACCTTTTTCTTCTTCTATTTAGACCACAAGTCTGGCATTCTACAGGCTGGTACAAACCCATCTTAGACTTGGCCAGATTGTGGTCAACACAGCAGGACCTTAACACACAAGCTTGGAGTTTTAAAAAATCTGTAGCCACAGTCAATTATGTTGTGTGAAACAAAAATGGGCAACATATTAATTTGCACATGCTCTATTTAGCAAAAAGAACCAGAAAGGAAAGAGATAGAAAGACTTATCTTTATTGCCTAGACTTTTTATTTCTTTTCTCACCCCCATACTGGGCAAAAAATGAACAAATAAATAAAATTCTGTTCTGGAGAGGCAATCACGTTCATATTACGCTGTGAAGTCTCAAACATTAGATTTTATTTTCCTATTTAATTTCTTTAAAGGACTTCACATTTAAACAGTGGGTCATAGATTCTATTCTGCTTTAATCTTTAATTACTGTGAGTTTTTGTGCTGGGCCACCAAGGGAATTCTGCAGGTGTTGGTGTCTGGCACTTCAGCTTACCTCAATTACTTCATGGGTATCACTCTGCAGTAGAACATATATTGATGAGAGATGACGAATTACAAAAACAATATTGCAACCAGCGTTTGGGGGTTTGTTTCCTCTTTCATTTGAAAATTATTTATTATTTAGAATTTCTCTTAAAGTATAATCAGTTTAAGTCTTGTGCTCCTAACTAAAGAAATCAAAATAAATTCTATCCAAATAGGTACCAATCTGGATAAAAATCAAATAAACTAAAATTGTTTTAATTTTTTGCTTACCTTGAAAAGGGGCACAAAACACATATGCATTTACCAACCATCTATGGTGGTTGTACACCAGATTTTCTTCAGCACGTATACTATATGTGCATACCAGATTCACATATCAAACTGCTCAAGAGGCGCTTCAGGCTGACCTGGTTGGCATTCACAAAGTGCACCCAGATATCCTCTTTGCTCTTTGGTTCTTTAAGGAAAGAAATAATCTAATTTCCTCTGTAAGCGGAAGCTGCTGTGGTAGACCCCATTCCCTCCAAAACATTAAAAAGGAGTAAGAGAAGCTTGTGACGTATGTGATATTTGAAGCCTTACCCGTGGCTGGGATAAAGAATTCTCTAGGCTGCTGTCACTCTGTGTTTCAAGTGGGTTGGCACAAATAAATCACTTGATGTAAAATCTATTACTATACTAATGGGCAAACTACAGTATAAAAAGCAGGAGCTTGCAAAACGCAAAAAGAGTTGACATCAGAGCAGAACAGGCAGGATTAGATGCTGCACGACTTCGAGTACAAACAGATCCCTCCGGGACTTGGGGGATGAACATTTTTTCCTCTCGCAGCCGCTGCGAGGAATTGAGGAGGGTACCTGCCACGATGCTCGCGAGCTGCTGCGTCCTGGTGATGGGGTAGACGCTGCGCGCCCGGGCGATGGCCGCGGCAATCCTCTTGGCGTGCCGCTCCTCGCCGTACGCCCTCAGGATGCACGCGAGCGCCTGCGGATCCAGGGCGTTCACCACGTCGGCCGCAGTGGGCATGGCAGGCAACCTGCGCACGAGAGCGCCCCGTTAGCTGCCTGACGTCAGCCTGCAGGGACACGGGGTGAAGCTCCGTGGCATTGACACATCCAGTCAAACACACACGCTGCATGTGAGTGCCCCGGAGGTTTCGAAATGAGACACAAACCCTATGAAAACAGAGAGGACTTGTACCTTTTAAATCCTGTCTCTTGCTGCTTTTGATGGAGTATGTTCTTTAGCAGTAATCAGGCTAGCTTGAACCTCCAAGCATTACAATTTAACTATGCCTGGTGTGTTGACATGAATAAATATGTCAGTGTCACGCTAAAATGGAAACGCTCTGCAGCTGTTTTTATTTAGACAGCTTTGGAATATAGACTTGTCCCTTATAGGTTATTTTAGTCACTTGTATGTCATTTGCTATTCAAAATAGATCTCAAGGATCTTTCACATCTACTGCTATGAGAATCGTTGCTTAGGAAAATATAGTTTCCATTACAAGACACCAGAAATTATCTTCAAATACTGTTTTGGGGGGGGGGGGGGGGGGCGGAATACAAATGTCTTAATGCTACAAATGAAAAGAACTATTAAGATAAAAACAATACGTATACCACACATACTTCTTTGATGACTTTACTAAAATAGATCAAGGTATTTTATATGCACTATATACAATTCACTAATGTGGAAAAGACATACAATCTACTGCTTAATAAATTCTCTTCTGCAGAAATTTTTTCAGCCATTTATTGCCCTCCCGCAGCATCTCACAAAAGATAACAAAACTTGGAAATCAGAGGCAGGTAGTATCATAGCAACAACCACAGCACAGGCTTTTGTTATGCCACGGGTATCCTTTGCTCTCATGATACTCTTACATGTTTGTATTCTTACGATACAAACACAAGCCTCAAGTTCAGATTCTCGAAATCAGAGGACTGAATCCCAATGGGATCATCTGAGTTTTTTTTATACAAAACTCAAAAATGAGTATCATGAAATTTGCACTGTGTTAAGATTTCTGAATGATTTCTCAGTAACGGAGGTTTCCCCACAGGCTCGGTGCGAACAATGAAAGGTCAAATGACATTTCTTAAGACTAAAGGTTCATCAGAACACCGAGTAAGAAATGTTCCCTTTCCTAGTAATGCATTATGCAGTCACTATCACCTACACAAACACCTTTGCCTTCCTCCTGTAAAAAGTACAATCTCATGTTAGATTGCTTAAAGGTGAAAACTCCTACATAAACAAAAATCTATGTTTTAAATAAACTGAACTCCTATTGCATTTCCTCCTACTAAACAAGGCCAATGTAATGGTCTTTAAGTAAACATGCAATTTACCGGTAGCTCTTAATTTGTGACTTAAGTAAGCCTGATATGTGTTTTATGCTACTTATAACATTGCAAAGGAAAGCTTGCAGTAAAAACCAAGTTTGCACAGGACAAAAACATACTCTTACGTTACAGGCAACGTTGCTCTGTGGTTTTAAATGACAGGTATGAAATTAAAACCTTGTTCTGTTCATCTTAATTCACATTGAAGAGAATAACTGGGTCAGATGGTCATTCCAGAAAAGATTGTTCCTTTCTTGAGGCAGCAACTGAATGTGGTTAAGTGAAGTTTCCACAAATAAGCGGCAATTAAGGAAAGAGATCTCGGTAAGGAGTTGTGAGACCAAATAGGACCCGAAAAAATGTTGAAGTGACCTCCAAGTGAACAAAAAGCAGCCTCCTAGGGGCCAGAGCAGGTTGACCTTGCTGCAAGTCACAGTGTTACTGAAACCAAGTCTAGAAATTACAGAGCAACTTGACAATAAAAAGTACAGTAACTTTTAAACTTTAAATTAATTTTTTTTAATTTAAGAATTTAAAGGAAAAAAAATCTCTTTCACTCAGTCATTTCTCAAGTAAAAGAGAAAAAGCAATTCTTGTTAATAAATATGTTTTTAGACTTTAAAAGCCTGTGAAATTTCTTTGGAAATTCACTGTAGGAGTTGATAGAGGAAACCTAACCCAGCGCTACCTTACCTAGGTGACTCGCCAACAGGTTGATCATACTTGGCAGTTTCTTCTCTCAAGGTTATCAAACATATTCCACTCTTGCATTAAAAGCTGGTCCAATAACTGTGTATACTATATGTCACAAAAATATTTTTAAAAATATTTTTTAAATTAGTCACCACTGGATCTTCTTCCCTCTTATTTCAGGGAGGTAAAAGAATATAACCAAGGTTCTAAGAATTGAAGTCTAGAGAAAACTTGGTTTTCTCTAAAAAAATGGCTAAAGGGAAGCCTACCAGTGGAAAAAAAAAGGGGGGGGGTTTATGAGGGGAATTGTTCAACTTAAATGAAATGCAGTTTTGCTGAGTGATACTTTTTGGAGTTCTAAGGAAAAATATTTTAATAGGTACCTGTCACAATCCATCCTCATGTCTAAAGGACCATCCTTCTGCAGGGAAAAACCTCTTTCAGGTGTATCAAATTGCATTGAAGAACAGCCAGCATCCAGGAGAACTCCATCTAGCATCCCTGGCTCCAGTCCAGATGAGGTCAACAAAGCTTCTGCCTGGCTAAACTGTCCTAGAAGAGCTCGAATCTGTTTCCTGTAAGAAAAATCACACACAAAAAAACCTCAGTCCCTATTTTAACTGTCATTATGCAGTGCTTCCCCCTTACATAGCAGGAATTTGATAACAGCACTTACGTGACTCCAAAGAGACAGGTGTTCACCCAAAATAATAGGTTAGGTAGTTTTTAGAAGCAAAACTGATGCAACCCACCAATGAGTGCCTTCTTTTTTACCTCCTCCCTGTTTGCTCTCAAAGAACCAGGCTGCTCTATATCCAAAATAAATGACAGAACAAGACCTAATCCCCAGGTCAGGGTGATACAGGAGGCAATGCAGAACACATCTAATGCACACCAGTAAATCTGAGTCTTACCAAAATGCAGCAAAAACACATTCAGATTGAGTTTTGAGCGTCCACGTCACAGCCTGTGGCAGCCATACAAGCTACCTACCTTTAGCAGGACAACTGGAGGCAACAGGAATTCCACGCCATTCTTCAACACACAAGGGCTCAAGGAAACATCCTGCACATCCCATGGGAATGCTCTACCCACCCGGAACCCCGCTCTGCGAAGGGCTCCTAACTAAGGCCAGAACGCAGAAAAGTACCATGATGACTGGAGTCAAAGGAAAACAGACAAGATGGACTATAACTACACAGCCTTGTGCTTAATCCTTAATCTGACAAGAGAAAATGTCAAGTTCTTGTTATGGGACAAATAATTATTTTTATGGTATACTTTTTTTTAATCATGTCAATAGCTGGGCATGACTGTGGAACAGGATCATGAGCAGATAAAATATTTCTGTGCAGCCCTGACAGTCCCTTCATCAGTGGCGAGCGCAGAATCCCATGGGCAGTTTTGTGCCCAGCCTTCTTCCTGCCTAGTTCTATGGTGGTTCTAATACATCTGGCTGGAAAGAGAGACAAAGCTTCAGGGGAGAGCAAGAAACAGACCTCTGAGGTCTCACAGCTCTGTCTTGGTGTCTAAGCCTGTTCTTTTATGCTCAATATACGTGCAATAGGAGGCAAGTCATTTTTGGATCTGGTTATCAAAGCTTCATTCACAATTGCACAGATTTATAGTGCAAACCAATACGCTGCTGCACATTTATCTGCAAAAACAACATTTTACTACCCTCTAAACAGAGGCAAGAGCCCCACATTTGAGTTTGGATAAGTGCTTCTCAGCCACAGAGATTAACATTCACATATTACAAGGTCAGCTGGGTTTAACTGCAGTCTCTGTAGCCAAAGTTACATGGGCAGAGAGCAAAGGGAGAGCAATTCCTCCAACTGCTGCAGCTACAAGAGGAGCGCTGCTTATGCCTTTTGACACTTCAGTGTTCTAGTCACTTGGAAAATGAGGCAACTGCCTTTCCAAAAGGGCAGCTTAAGTCTAATCCTTCTTTCTGATCAGTTTAACATTGACACAACAAGTACTCTGGCATAATTTAATTGACTGGATTGGCTTCATTTGAAAATTACTTCATGAACACAGAATCGGAGCTATTTTTGCACTCATCCAACAGGAGTAAGAAAATTGTATGAGAGAAAAGAAAGAAAAAGCACCATTTAAAAAAATCATGAGCCCATAAATACATGAAAGAACATTTAGCTATATAATTGTATCCTCATTACAGCAGAGTAGGCCAACTTATCTAACACAGTTCATTCTAGGAAAATACCAGGAATAAACCCTTATTTCATGAAGGATACCATGATCATATATATGCATTTTTGAATTTATTACTGTACTCTACAAAACTAAATACAACTATTGAGCTTAAGGACTGACATTTCCTGAACAGTACAATGACCCACTCAATGTATTTGCTTTAAGTTTAATAGTTGCAGGCTCTAGATTGCTCTTCCTTTCAGTATAAGGGGCATTTTCTAGAAAATCCACTTCACTTCCATTTCACTTCATGTAAATGCAGCTCGTTTAAGTGGTGTAAATGATTGAAATTTACTTTTCTGTACGTGGCAGAGAAAAACAAATGAGAATTTGGGAAAAGCACGTAAATTGCTATTGTCTACTATCCCCCACCAGACTATGAATTAGAGCAGTATTCTGCTGTCGATTATTTCAAAAGATTAATTTGCTCTATAGCCTTATGACTTGATAGCAAACTGACTACGTTTCTTAAAGAAAACATAAATGGATATCCAAAGTTGTTTAGGATTATGGCCTTTTATGGTCTGTCAACCCTCTGGCATTAAGAAAAGGTAATTAAAAAAGTGTGTCTATCTGCAGTTCAAATTTACTATACGGGATAGGCATCCTGCAGCAAAAAAAAAAAATTGATTTCGCAAAAGAAAATATTGGAAAAAAAATCAGGTTGACATTTTAATATCAGTCTTTTGCCTGTGTGAAAATACAGCCTATGTACAGAAACTGTATGTAATGAATCACAACTGTTTTTCACAGGATTGTCATGATGATGACGACATGGTGTAATCTTTTTAACGAGAACAGCATTTAATCAAAGCAAAATATTTTACCTAGTTTTCAAAAGATTTTAGTAGAACATAGTAAAACTCTCCCTTTTTCTGCCCATCTTAAAATAACTGCCTGTTAAGCACATGTTTTTCTACAAATAGAAATGTTTCATTTAAACTTAATTTCTTCTGCCTTCAGCCTGTTCACATTATTAGGTTATTTTGGAAAATGAGCCTAAAATAAATGGATAAGTGGCTGAATAAATAATAAAATCTTATGAATCCTATACTAAATATGTTTATTTTCTACAGTTGCATGCCTTCTGTTCCACAGATTTCCAGAAATGACCACATTCATCTAGCGTGAAAATCTGTCCACAATCCCCTTTTGTATTAATATCTTGCAAAAACAACGCTTAGATGGAAACCAGGAAAGGCAAACTAGTGACTTAGGGCACATCCCAAACCATGAAATGAAAATAGCCTGGTTTGTCGTTCAGAAATGCCTGAGAGGAAAGAAGACACAGAAACGTTACAGACCCAGAGGGAACGCGTGCTCTTGGGGACACCAGTGAAAGCTGTCAGGGCTGCTAACGGGGAGCAAAGATGGGAAATACTTTAATTACACAACTTTTGAAGGTAACTCCCAAAACCTAACTAGATCCCGTCCTCTTGCTTAGGAGCAAATACTCAAATTTAGTACTTGAATGCTGCTTAAAATACTTAAATACTTCAGAGGCATAAAACACTTATGAAGCGCCTTTACTTCCAACTTGTAAGTGGAACAACAAGACATAGGATTTGATAATAAATTACTTAAATTATGCAGAAAGCCACTAATTTTTAGTTTAAGAGATTATGGCCAGAGAATGTCAAAAAGTAGACAATGTCCTTCATTTATTTAGTTTCTCTACTTTTGCTTTTTTTCATTTTGGTAATAGCATAAATATATTTGGTAAATTCCCAACTGACAAGCAACCTCCAGCTTCTTCAAATATTCTACATGCTCAATCCATCTTTATTAATTTTGACAAAAATAAAAAAAATTATTGAAGGATTTAAAAAACACTGGGAACATGAACAAGTATAATAATAAAATGTTATTTCAGCCAATTTTATAATAATAAAATGTTATTTCAGCTGCTACATATGTTCTCGGACTTCTAAGAGATTTTATTGCATAACAGCTTCCAGGGCTTTCAGAGTTCTTGTAATACCTGCTATACCTGGAAAACAAGCATGATTTGGGGCTCAGAACCCTTGATGTGGGTCACAACAAAGTACTATTATGATACACAGCATAGTAATTCTGATAAAAGGCATCAGATTCACACTTTTAAACAACATAAAGAAGCAGAAAGAGAAGTGTGTAAAATATTATGGGCTGTTGTGCTTTCAAGGTGATCTCTGATAATTTCATATTGCTTTATAAAAATAATTATTCCAGTGAACTGAGGATGTAGCAGAATGATCCTAACTTCTACGAAGCAAACTGAGAAAGCAATTTTTTCTTCTTACCTACTTTTTCCTCAGTAGCAGTTTTCTTCAAAGTTGCTGTGACAAACACTCCATTTCACAGAAATCATGATTCCACTTTCATGGTATTTCAATATTTTTCACAAACATACAATTATAAACAATAATCCTTGTGCTTGATCTCCTACCATTGCAACTATTGCAAATTCCACGTATGAATATGTACAGTGTCAGGAAATGATGATCCCTTGTCAAGAATGGAAAAAAAAAGTCTTTTACTCAACTACAGAAAATGATTTGAGAAAAACAAAAAGAAAATGTTCCTCAACCAACTCTTGCCAAAGCAAATCAAGCTGATCTAGCACTTGGGCTCAGTAACTACTGATAGCCAATAGAGCTGCCAATTAGCACCAGCTGTAATGAGGATAGACCTGGTTTGGTATCACTGACTCATTTCACTTAGGTCATTGACCAGCTGTCGGATAGTTGTGATTTTCAGCTCCAGCTGCTCTGGGGTAGATCTAAAGCACTAAGCTAGGATTAAAAGCAAGGATATTCTATGGGCTGCTCCCTGGGCCTTGCAGAGCCTGAGCTAGGAGGAGCTTGGAGCCTTGCTGAGCCGCAAGCCCCTCACACGCACACGCCTGCAGATAATCCACGAGGGTGAAGCAGCCTTTGCCAAATGGGGATGGCCACAGTCTGTGTTTGCAAATAAATAAGAATTTCCCTATCTAATAACTTATTAGCTTATAAAGGAGCCGTGTCATTACAGCTCCAACTTTACAGAAATAACTTACAGCTCTGGAAAAAGCCTCTAGATCCACTTGAGATTGTTAACAAAGACTCGAATTCATGCAACGAAGCATATATAAAAAGTTATTTCCTCAGAATCAAGTCCTTATTTTAAAGTTTGATGCAGGTGGGGAGATGGAGGGATATAATGAAAATTTTATTCAGCACATTACAATTACAGAAACGCCATTTAAAGTATCTATGAATTAGCAAACTTACTCATCATGTTTTCCCACTGTCACAGCAAGTAAAGCAAAGTTCCATCAACTTCCAGTTCAAAGGACAAAATACTATCCGGGAGAACCACCATAAATATTTCTCTG